GATTGCTTTGGGTAGCATGGCCATTTTAACAATACTAATTCTTTCAATCCAAGAGCATAGGATATCTTTCCATTTCTTTAAATCATCTTTAATTTCCTTAATCAATGTTTTGTAGTTGTCAGCATATAAGCCTTGGTTAAACTTCTGATATACAACAGAGGTGGCTTTCAGATGTATAGAGAAAGGACAGTTGTTTCAAAATGTGATGCTAAAACAGTTGGGTATCCATACAGATATAAATGAAATTCGGGCCCTACTTTCTACCTCACAGATTAAAAAAATCAGTTCCAACTAGTTTAAAGACCTAAATGTGAAAGACAAAATCTGTAAAGGTTTTTTTCAGATAATATAGGAGAATGTCTTCAACTTCTGGTTATGGAAAATCTTCCTAAACAAAACACAAAAACCTATGAAAGAAATAATTGAAGGGGTGGTATAGCTCAGTGGTAGAGTCCATGCTTATCATGCACAAGGTCCTGGGTTAAATCCCTAGTACCTTTGTTAAAAAATAAATAAATAAACCTAATTACCTCTCCCCTCAAAAAATATTTTTGTAATTTTTAAAAATTAAAAAAAAATCTTTAAGTCTGACAATATCAAGTATTAATGAGAACATGAAGCAATAGGACCCTTCATACAATGCTGGCAGAACCACTTGGAAAAAGTCTGGCATTATCTAAGGGATATACATATCCTATAACAATGCTGTTATTAGGTAAATACAGTAGAGAAATTTTTGCATGTACGCACCAGAAGAAATGTACAAGATTGTTTATAGCATAGTAGATAGATAAATCATGGTATGTTCATAATATAGAATGCTAAACACCAATGAAAAACAAATGAGCCAGAGCTACTATACACAACAACACAGGTAAATCTCACAAATATCGAGGGAAAAAGCAAATCATAGAACAATACAAACCAAAAAATACAGACAGTATTATTCCATTTATGTCAAGTTCAAAAATGCAAAATTAAATTGTTTAGGGATATACACATTACTGGTAAAACTTGACCTAAAAGCAAAGAAATGATTATAACAAAGATCTGGATAGTGGTTACCTGTAGAGGTGAGGGGGAGGGTTGTGACTGGGAAGGAACACAGTAGGAATGATTGGGGATACAGGCAATTTCTATTTCTTGTCCCTAGTTTTTATTTATAATCATTCATTATATAGTACTTGTTTTTTGCATTCCAAATCATGTCTGATATATCTCACAATATATAAGAGATATATCATCAGATACTAATATAAGAACTAATCTTCTCACTTGTATAAAAGGGAATTTTTCTCATATCTTTCTTCCAAATGAAAGGAAAGTTAAGATGCTAATACCTTGCCAATAGGAGTAAATGGTCACATTGCTTTGGCTACCACAAACAAAAACAAGTGAAATAATATTTAAAACTGTATTTACTAGATATCAAATATAATTAACCATACATATATATTTTAACCTTATATATCCTTTGCTCCAGGTAAGCCTGTTAAAGTTCCAGCCAGGTGGCATATTTATAGACTGTACTGGCCTATGACCCACTACAAGTCTGTAACTGTTAATGGTTAAAAAATTAAAACTGAATACAAAACTCTTGAGCGGAAAGGCAGCTAAGCAACTTTCGTGAGCAAAAACATAATTATCATCATTGATTCAAGAAACAGCCTTATTATATATAGGGAGCTGTTGGCCATTAAAACATACCTAAAGTTTTTGGCAGGGAAATGAAGAATAAAAAGAAGTTTATATACTTTTACTCATAGCTGAAAAATCATGAGTTTTTCAAAGGAGATAAAATCAATTAAACAACAAAACTTAACTGAGCACCTATTAAGGAAATTAAAAAAGATTTCATCCCTTCTATGTTTAGTAAGACAATACGTCAAAGGTAATACAAAGAAAAGTATGATACAGACCATGTATTAAGAAAAATATAATAAGCACAGTGTTTGGTAATACGAAAGACATGAAAACGCTTAAGATATGGCCCTTAATATGAAAGCAAAAACTCTTTAAAAAAACATATATATTTGCACTTGTCTAATTTAAATCAAGAGCAAAATAAGGTGCAAGGGCAGAACACACTGTATAAAAGACTTTCCCTAGGGAGGTTCTGGGTCCAGGTATCCTGGTAAAGTGAAAGACCTAAAATAACTCATGTTAATACTCTTTCAAAACCCTACTTCCCAATATTTCTATTCAAGTGAACTCAAGTTACAAAAAAATATCAAAAGTGACCTAGGTGGAGAGGGTATAGCTCAGTGGTAGAGTGCATGCTTAGCATGTAGGAGGTCCTGGGTTCAATCCTCAGTACCTCCAGTTTAAAAAAAAAGTGCCCTCCACGAGGAAATGAAGTCACATGTCACACAAGTGCAGTCAAGTATATCTGCCTCAAGTTGTTTTGGGTTTTTGGGGGGGTTTTTGTTTGTTTTTTAACACTGGCTGGCCTGGGCCACTTTCTTTTCTCTTTAAGTTGCCTCACTGAGTTACCGTCTAATCAGCTAGTTCCCTCAAAGATTTTCCATGGATTTCTCCAATCTACTATAATCATTAATTTAATAATTTTTGCCTTTTTCGGATTATGCCTTCCATGAGTTCTTGCTATTAAATATGCTATTTGATGAAGAAATAAAAGAAAACAGGGAGTACAGCTGACATTTTTAAGATGGAAAAATTGGAATCTTCCTTAGGCCAAGAAAACAATGTGCAGGAACCACTGAACTAATGATTATTAAGTCCTTTAGGCTCTGGTTATGTGAAAGGTAAGAGGACTGAAGCCAGAGAAATTAAAAGTCACATCCAAGGCCAAACTAGACCCCTTATCTTAGACCACATCCTTATAAGGCTCTAACTTACTGTCAGGCCATAGGTCACCCTACAGCAGTGGTTCTTAACTAGGAGTGACTTTGCCTCTCCCAGGGGACAACTGGCAATATTTGAAGATATTTTTGGTTGTCACAACTGCGTGAGGAGGGTGGACTGCTACTACATCTAATGCGTAAAGTCTGCTAAACATTCTAAGATGCAGCACAGCCACCCACAACAAATTACCATCTAACCCAAAAGATCAACAATGCTGAGACTGAGAATCTCTGTGTACCTCCATCCACTGTGTAGCTCATACTTCATTAACTTAATCACATATGAACTCAAATTTCAGCAAACATTCAGGAAACAAATGTTAGGGAAATCTGAATCATCAGAGGATGTATGACCTAAGATTACTTTGGCTGGCAATGACAATACGGTATCAAGACTTCTACTTCCTAGTTTTACTTACATAGTCATATTCTACCTCTGAAATGCAAAATTCTCTTTTCATTAGGTATTATATTTCAGTGGTTTAAAAGTGTATGTGGGGAGAGACTTTGAAACAAGACAAGTCTGCACTCAAATTCTAGTTCAAACATTTACTAGCTATAAGACCTTAGGAAAGTCTCTCAACTTTACTAGGATTCCATTTACCCACATATAATATCAGACTAATAATATCTACCTCACAGAATTACTTTAAGGATTAAATGAAAAATGTATTTTAAACATTGGGCACATGTGCCTAGAATATAATAAATACTTAAAACTGTGTTTAATTTGAAGGGGGGCTGTGGTTAAGAGTTGGACTTTTGAAAATCTCTGCTTTGTTACTTACTGTGTAACTTGAACAAGTTATTTCATGACTTTGAGCCTCAATTTCCTCATCTGTAAAGTGAGGCTGATACCATCCTTCTCATAGGAGAATGATGAGGATCAATAAAATAAAGTTTGTAAAACATTCAAAGCAGTTGAAACACAGTAAGTGTCCAACATACAGAGTTAAAGTGGGCCCAATAAAACCCAATGACATTTTCCACATTATAAAAGCTTTCCCATACATGTCCTGAACTACATTTTGCTTAATTTTGCAACACTTGGCCTAGTTAGAAAAACAGTTGTTAACATTTCTCTTAAAATCTTTATCGAGCTTAGCAAATTCATCACTTTTCCGAGTTCTCTCTTGATCAGGAAGGTTTATTTAGTTGGTTTTGATTGGGTGTTTTAAAATATATATATACAATCTTTATTTATCACTTACATGTCAATAAAAGGAAGAGTTTTGTTTTTGAACACTGCTCAGGCAGGAGAGCAAAAAGGAAGGTTTTTGACGAGATTTTTCTGGTATGAATAGTTTTACATAGGGTGTATTTTTACTCTATTTTCACCATTAAACTGTGATTGCCTAGAGGGCCAGAACAGCAAAATAAATATCTTCCGTATAGCTGTCTTTAAACTATTTCTAGCTCCACTAGCAATTTTACCAAGATATCAACATCAGAAAATTTACTTCTAGGCAGGACCCTACCATGGTTAGAGTGAATACAGGCTTCAAACAACACCCCATTTCCTTAACTGTAATAATTAATGCATACCAAAAAAATCTACATTTATCCACTAATCCACATTTAGTCAATCCCTCAGTATTCAAAGTAATAGTTAAAATAATTACCTACAAGAAAAGAGATCTATTGGCAGTAACTAAAATATCTCAGTGTATTACAATGACAAATTTACAAGCAATTCATAGAATTAATCCATCATTTATAGATGACACCTCTCTTATTTATTTCAAAGACTAAGTAACTAAAAGTTCAAATCCAACAAAAAAGAGATTGCTCACCTCTGGAGATTTCTGTATATTCTGGAATACAGCATAGGCAATAAGTGAACTTGAACCTATAACACTGACAGAAATAAAAGACTATCATTAAATAGGACAATTGGGGCTCCTCCTTTTTTGCTACTGATTTTTTTTTACAGCTTTACTGACATATTATTGATATAAAATAGATTGCACATATGTTTTGAAAATATATGGGGGGAGGGTAGACCTCAAGGGGTAGAGTGCAGGCTTAGCATGCACAAGGGCCTGGATTCAATCCCCAGTATCTCCATTAAAAAAAAAAAAAACTAATAATAAGTAAATAGACCTAGTAATCTTCCCCCCCCAAATACAATGATAAAAATATATGGAATGCTTCACAAATTTTTGTGTCATCCTTGAGCAGGGGCCATGCTAATCTTCTGTGTATTATTACAATTTTTAGTATATGTGCTGCCAAAGTGAGTACTTTGCAACTGATTTTGCAAATTAATCCTGTTGACCCAGTTGTCCTTTGATTTTTAGAGGTTATCCTTCAATCTATTTTTTGTTATTATTACTGTTGATGTTATTACATTTTATTAATCAGTAAATATCAATATGCAAACTCACAGACATAGAAAACAAACCTATGGTTACCAGGGGGAAGGAGGGTAGGAAGGGATAAACTGGGAGTTCGAGATTTGCAGATATTAACTACCATATATAAAATAGATAAACAAGTTTTTACTGTATAGCACAGGGAACTATATTCAATATCTTATAGTAACCTAAAATGAAAAAGAATATGAAAAGGAATATATGTATGACTGAAAGATGAAATACACCAGAAACTGACACAACATCGTAAACTAACTATACTTCAACTTAAAAAAAAAAAGAAAATATCAACATGGTAAAGAAAAGTATTTTTCTCTAGCTAAAGAGTAAAAGCAAATCCCCAGGGGAAAATATAAAGACTTCAAGATTCTCCAGCTTTGCTTATACTAGTTTAGTCACATTACATGAGATTAAATAAACTTACCTCAGAGTTGCCATAACAAATTGTATCCACTGTATTGCAGTAAAAAGCTAAATAGAGAAAGTAAGTATAAAATTAAGCTTTGAAATTTAATATCCAACTTTACTCTAATTTCACTGTTTATTAACTATCTGTACAGAGTGCAAACTCTTCTTCAGTGCCTAATCAAAACACACTACAAGTTTGAGAATGAGTAGAAAGGCTGAATAGGCCCCTAGAAAGACAAGGTGGCCTTTTTACCCTTCTCACGGCTACATCTCTGGAAAACCGTAAGATAAAGAGAATAGAGAGGTGGACAGAAAATGACCGAATGAAAAAAAGAGAGTTGGATAAGAAATTTAATACAAGGAAGAATAAAATGGAGAAGAGGTAGAAAAAGTTAAGTTTTGAGAGAGAGCAAACATATGTAGGAAGAATGGGTAACAGAAAAGACAAATACTAAATAAAGTTGACTGACACAGAGCTAGACAGAGAAAAAAACTGAATAGTAAGCAACAGGGAAAAGGAAAGAAAAGTTAATAGTATGGAGATAGACACTGTGAGTGAAAAATACAGAACAGGAAGGAGGAAAGGGAGAGCAAAAAAAAAGAAGAGGGGCAGTTCCTAATCTCACCAAGTCCCAATTGCCCTCCAAAGTGTTAGCCTTCAGTAGGAAGGCCATACGGATTTCAGCCTCGGCTAAATTTAAGCAGCCAGATCCTTCTCTGTCAGGTTCTGAATTCCAAGCGGTGAACAGGTGGCTCCACCCCTAGCTCAGCTGAGCTCCTCCTTACCCACTCCTGCCCTGTACCTTGAGCGCAAGGAGAGAAGGTGGTGACAAGTGGAGGAGAAAGCCAAGCAAAAAGAACAAAAATAGAAAGAGCAGGTGACAAGGAAACAAAGTTCTAAAAAGCATTAGGAATTGTAAGAAGGGCCAAGAGGCAGGAATAATAAGAAGTAGAGAGAATGAGTCATCGTGAAAAGATAAACAGAGCTGTAAGAGAGAAATGGAATAGAAAAAAGGAGAGAAAGATGGGGAATAAAAGAGGTCTGTTTAAAACTTGCCCTTATTTAGGGACAAAAGCCTGTGTTGGGGAAGACAGACTGCATATTCACTCAATAAGCTTTTAGTAATACCTAGGAAAGATATGAGAAGGGATTATTAATGTCTCACATTTATTTAATAGTAACATCTTCTTAAATATTCTGTACCAAAAATTCTCACCAGAAATATAATTATATTACTAAATTACACAATTCATTTAATACTAATCTTTATATATCAACTTTGTGTAAAACTATGTTATGGAAAATATAAAGACAAATAAGACACAGACCCAGACTTCTAGGAGCTTATAATACAGTAGAGAAAAACAGCTTGAATACCAAAAATCTCAAATAATCTGCACATAGAAATAATATACACTGATTGACATTTGAACATTATCTGGAAGAACTGCTAAAATTTAGAAAAAGACTGGCGGAGAGAGAAAGCAGAAGGAAGAACATTTCATTTATGTAAACATTTACCTTTCATCTAAACATACCGTCATATATTTTACAAATATTTATTTATAACATAAATCATATCATTTGCATGGGTTGAGTAACTTAAATATATTACTCATTTATTCATATGAAATTAAGAATACCATGGAGTAGAAGATAGGACATTGCTAAGTGGAAGTAGGCTCTAATCACTTTGCTTAAATTATGAGGGAAACAAATTAAATTACCAGTACATTTCTGGATCAGAAATTCCTACCATAAGATCTTAGGGAGTGTTCTGAGGCCTCTAATCATGTATCTGTCTAATAAGGGTGAGGGGACTAATGACAGTCTCACCAAATCATAAGAGAATGGTTTGGGACAAAGGGTTCTTGTCTCAGTTAAGAACAAATCTCAAATTGTTCAGAAAACAGCCACAGCAAATCAGTCTGCTTCTGCTCTTGACAGGAGAACTTTTCTCTTTTGGCATCTCTTCTAAAATATCTTATGCCACCCATCAACATTTAGGGATTTACTTTTCCATTTTTCTCTCTAAATTAATCCCCTGCCTTCTGTATATTTAGCATGGTTCCCCTTTGAAATGTCTTTGGAAACATAATCCTCCCATGTCCCTTTTCTACAAGGGCTAAACTAAGCCCAAATGATGAACTGGGTGATACTTATTTTCAGCTTCCCCTTCTCTTTTTACCTAGCTCCTTAGCAAGTTAAAACACATCCCAGCTCTCATTTAATGTAATGGGTTACTACCATATATTACAAAACAATTTAAGTTAACAGATATTCATTAAACTTCTACCATGAGCAAGTTACTGCAGTGGATACAAAGTCAAGAAAAACACCTACCTAGTAAAGTATTTTAGTTAAGCAAAAATAGTACTTAAAGAAAATTTCTAGTAAGAATACCTACCAATTAGCAAGTGCTTTCTATGTAAGCATTTTAATTCTCAACACAACCTTTGAGGTAAGAAGTCATATTATTCCTATTTTACAGGTGAAGGAACTGAGGCTTAAAGAAGTCATTTCCCATGGTTACAGAATTATCAAGTTGTAACACCAACATTCAAACTCAGTTTGATCATAGTTCTCACTCTTAACACCTACAGTACTTTAACAGGGAGCTGGTTAAAGGGAAAATAGGGAAAGGTAATTTAAAAAAGTAATGTGACATCAAGAGAGTTCTTTTACTAAGCAATTGCTTCTTAGATATGACAACAAATCATAAGCAACAAGAGAAAAAATACATAAATTGTTCTTAAAAATTAGAAACTTTAGTGCTTCAAAGGATACTATCAAGAAAGTGAAAAGACAACCCCGTAGAACAGAAAATATTTGTAAACCATATATCTAATAAGGGATTTGTACACAGACTATATAGAGAACTCCTACAAGTTAGTAATAAAAATACAACCCAATTTAGAAATGGGCAAGGGTTTTAAATTAGAAATTTCTACCAAAGACTATACAAACAACTAATAAACATGCGGAAAGATGATCAACATCATAAGCCACCAGGGAAATACAAATTAAAATCACGAGTTGATATTTCACACCTACTAGGATGGCCATAATAAAAAGACAACAGCAATGGATGAAGATGTGGAGAAATAGGAATCCTCATACACAGCTGGTGGGGATATAAAATATTGCAGCCACTTCGTCAGTTCCACAAAAGGTTAAACATATCCTATAACTCAGCTCCTTGGTATAAATCCAGTTCTACTTCTAGGTATATACTCGAGATTAAAACATGTCCACGCAAATGTTCATTACAGTGTTACACATAATAGAAAAAAAGTAGAAACAACACAGATGTCCATCAACTGGTGAACAGAGAAATAAAATGTACTATATTGGTACAGTGAAATATTATGCAGCACTTAAAAGAAGTACTGACACATGCTACAACATGGATAAACCTTGAAAACATGCTAAATGAAAAAGCTAGTCACAAAAGACAACATATTTTATGATTCCATTCATACAAAATGTCCAAAACAGGCAAATTTATAGCGACAAAGTAGATCAGTAGTTGCCTAGGGCTAGAAAGGTAGTTTGGGAGGGAATGGGGAGTGACTGTTAACGGGCACAGGTTTCTTTTTAGAGTGACAAAAATATTCTAAAATTAGCAGTGATGGTTGCACTCTGAATATTCTGAAAACCACTGAATTTTATACTTTAAAAGGATTAATTGTATGGCAGGTAAGTTATATCACAATAAAGCTGTTACCCAAAAAATGGAAGTTTGGAACAAAAGTAAGGAAATGTCCCACTGCTGAAATTCATGGTATAATGATTAATGAATAACATATCTTGACTTTCCTACTGAAAACAGTAATATTTAGAATGAAAAGTGTAAAACAAACATTGTAAGAGAGAACTTTTATTTACTTCTTTACATCCCACTTTGACCTAGATAATATATCAGGTAGCTTACAACAGTACATAAAATAAGACAAAATAACATGATTGAAAGTGGGACAAAAGAAGAAAGAAAAACTAGTCTGCTGAAATGATCTGATCGCTGGATGTTAAAATGTCTGTGAGGTTTTTAACGGTACTTTATTGAAAAAACAATATTAAAATAAGAAGTCTAAAATTATAAAATCTAAAAGTTTGCTGCAATCTCATCAAAATCAAGTTGTATTTATTGTTGTTACTCTAAGTCTTTATCCTTATGGTGTTGAATTTTTACATGTTTGTAATAATTCTACAGCTAGTGTTTTATATTCTACATTTTTTGCTCAACATTATTCCATAGTAATCTTTTTTTCCTTTTGTTAGAGTCCAATTTACCCTCTCTCCCCTCCCCTACACTGTAACTAATGCAAAAAGCCTGGTATATTTCTCTACATCTTTCTCTGTGCTCATTAAAATATACCTAAATACATATACACATGTATGGGCGTTATTACAGTGGTAGGTTTTTAAAATCGTATCATATATTTCTGTATACATTGCTT